GACTAAGTAAGTAAGGTACAACTAATATTTCTTACATGTTCTGCCACAAATCAGAAGCCACAAGATATATGTACTATAACATTTGTGTGAAATCCGAAAAAGCTGTGAAATTTGAGAAGAAAATTTGATACGTAAATCATGGACAGACCCATGTGTACGTCAAAGTTATAAATGCTCTGCAGCATTGGGGGGGAGGGGGAATGATGGCACGTAGAAGCACTGCAGATGCAATATTTCTGAACTAGGACATTGCTAAAATGGTACTAGCTATTATAATTTCTAGAAATTTAATTCTATAGTAAAAGATTTAGCAGCCCAGAGCAAAGTGGGAGTGGAGAAGCCTGGTAGAACAGTTAGTTATGCAAGTGGGAGGGGGATGCTTAAACTAATATTAGACAGAATATATTTCAGAATCTTCCTTGTTTTATAATCTCATAGCCTCAGGCTAGGATAAAAGGTCATGGATAATCAGTGAAAGAGTGATGGATGCTGTTCAAAATGTGTCCCTTTAACAGTTTTAGTTATGACAAGACAGTGACAGATTGTTAAAAAAACAGACATTCCATTATAAAAATGTTTAACCATTGCAACACTAAAACTACATTTTTTCAGTAAATAAACATATAAAGACATAAATTATTAATTTAATCTTCCCTCCCCCGGGAAAGCTACCATTTTGAAGATACGTATCATATGACTGAAAATGTATTTTGTGCAGATGCTCACTTTGTTTTCATGCAATCCATTAAAACACACCAATGAGCATTTAGAAGCACATTTTTTATTTCTACAGGCTGAACAGGAAGAAACTTTCAACAATGTCTTGAATCCTACTGGTATTCATGTAACATTTGCATAACCTGCTATGGCTAACTGAAGCTAACTGTTAGTGCATGGTGCTGGTGTGAATCCCAGCTAAGCACTCAGGCATGCGACCAGGTATATAGCTGGAGCACTCTCCAGCATCTTGTCAAATATCTGTAAAATGAGTTAGAGCCAGAGCCATTCTCTACTGTGCATTCCAGGAGAAGAGCCACCTTATGTGGCCTTGGGCAAGCTGCACAATCCCAAAGTGACTCTAGAAGTAAATGGTAAAACATTTCTGAGTATTCTCTACTAGAAAACCTTGGAAAGGGTTGCCATAAGTCAGAATCGACTTGAGGACACGTTGTTGTTGTTGTTGTTACTATTATTAGCCATAGCAAATTACAGAAACCTTACATAAACACCAGTAGGACTCTGACCAGCATTTCAGTATAATAAATCTACTAAAACTAAAAATACATTCCCAAGCCATTTTGTAGTTTGCTTGATATACTTTATACATATTTATATAGGAATGTAATCTAAGATAGAGCTACAGTTTATGCAGGTCCAGCCTTGCTGTTGTAGGCAAGTAATATGGTACAATGAAGGCTGATGTATTAACTTTATTTAAGAGTAAGAAGGTAACCAAGCTCACTACAGGTTAGCCTTGCCTCTTTTTCAAGCAAAAAAAAAGTGTGAAATTAGAGGGGGAAGTATGCTTATCCAGGAGTTGGTTTTCTTGGGTTGAATCTGACTTTGCTGCATTCCACATGTTTCAGCTACAAAATATGAGAAAACTCTATTATCTTAATCAAAATTAAGATGCTATACTGAACCCCTGGACAGAAAATCTTTCCCTAAGACATATCTTTTTTAAAAAATGGCATACATGCTTTGTCATGGGCTTCTGACCTAGCATAACTTTTGAAAATGTGCAAAGTAATAATCCATTACTTTGTGGGATCAATATTACAACATTCTATCTGAATTGTATTTACAAAGGTAATCAAGAGGATTTGTAGAGACCATTTGTGAAAATACCAGGTGTAATAAGCTGATTAGATAGTAAAGATGCAGAAGGAAATGTATTTCCTTGTCTCAGCACAATCATCCTTTATACCTAAGAGATTCTGTCTTATCTATTAGGAGACATTTAGCTAATACTATTTTCTGAAATGTAAACATGTTAGATGCAATTGCATGTCCCAGTCAGATTAATCAAGACAATCGTCTGAAGAAATCAAGTTTGTTGATAATCTAACATTTTGCAAAGCTAAATAAGAAGCCTGGCCACTTGTTCCCCCTTAAGGCTCATGGTTAAACTTCCTTGCACTTTCATATGAAAAGGAACTGAACTTGGAAGGAGGATCTTCTCCATTTATATATGCTTAATGGAAGCTAAAATGCATCAGGGCCAATCAATCGGTTTTCCCAACTAATACATGCCATTACTACTCTAATTTACCATCTTGTAGAATTAATAATTTGATATGTGTGTATGTCGTCTTCTTATGTCAGACATGTCACATATACATACAGTCATGTGCCCCGGATTGTCCACTCCATCTCCCATGCATGTATCACATCTGTGATCACTGTACAGCTTATATTCCCCAGCCAGCCTATGAAAAGCTTTTTTGTACTGTTATAAAAAAAAACAAAAAAACAACAACACCAAACCTTACATTATTAGCCACCACCACCTCCCCTCCTTCATCTATTAAAGATGAACAGAGCTCCTCCATTGACAACAGATGGGACAAAATCTGTTGCAGGTCTGACTCCTTCCCTAAATCTGGAAAATAAAGAACACAACAGGTAAAGCCCCAAATACTGCAAGCCTATTTGGGGCTTGCTTTTCTCCTCCTCCCACCAACCTAGCGGTTCGAAAGCATGCAAATGTGAGTAGATAAATAGGGACCACCTCGGTGGGAAGGTAACAGCGTTCCGTGTCTAAGTCGCACTGGCCATGTGACCATGGAAGATTGTCTTCGGACAAAAACGCTGGCTCTATGGCTTGGAAACGGGGATGACCACCGCCCCCTAGAGTCAAACACGACTGAACAAAAAATGTCAAGGGGAACCTTTACCTTACCTTTTCTCCTCCTCAACTGGGGCATTTTCTGGTATCTGAACCAGGAAGTAATTGTGAGGATGGATTATTTCTAATGAAGAATTGATCCTTATTACATCTTAAAAGAAAAGGAGTATAACACTTTCAACAAATTTAATGCAAGTTAGAAAAATCACATGGGTCTCTGGGCACAAAATAGTGTAAGAAAAAAAATGAAAAACATGTAGGCCTTTGGGATAGTTAGCACAGCCAAACAAATTACAATCCCTAATGCAACTGGTTTGCAATGGGACTGATTCTATGCACAATATCTTGTAATCATTCACTTCCTATTTTTCTGGGATGAGCTCTCCCTCATGGCTGGCTGGAGAGACAGAGCATCCCAGAAAGAACAAAAGAATATCTTACTGGATATTTAAAAATCCCTGTCACCCTGTTTGGCTGACACCTGTGGGTCTTCAGAGCCATCCCTGCTGATATCACACAAACTTCCTTTCTTTGGATGCTAACCCTTTTCAATTTTTCCATGTTTGCATGCTGTAAGCCTGTAACATACACACTGGGACTCTTGATATATGCTGCTGCTTAATGACACAGAGGAACCCGCTGTCATGACATTGACATTTAGAAGTTTAATGGAAAATAAACCATGGATTCCAAACAAATACTGATTTGCTCTAAAGGCTGTTTCCCAGCTTTGCATTCAATAGCAAGCTGGAATAAAGCAGGCCTAGAAACCTCTAAGCATGTAATATCAAGGAAGGGACAAAACAAAGCCTAAAACTTGTGATTATATTATTTAACGCTATGCCTGAAACAACTGAATTTGTTCTTCTTATTAGTATGTACGCTAATAAAACAACTAAAACAACAAGGAAATAATTTCTTCAGATATATGTACATACAGACATTAATGCATACACACTGTTTGCAAAGCATCAAAACAGATCTTTAAACAAACCAGTTCTACAAACTCAAAGGATGTGGTGAATTACTTAAAAAACATATTTCTTAGCATGCCTAGAAAAACACAAAAAATGAAATGTTATGACAAAAAGCCCTCTCTAGCCATTCTAATATATACTGTGCATTCAAACAAACATGCATAGAGGGCCAAAATGCAATGTTGTACTGTTGCCAAACATAGAGTGTACAAAAAACAGAGAGAGGATGATGGAATTGAGAGAGAAATTACTCCATTTTTGTTTCAGATATAAAAGTTGTCATCAGAACCACAGGTTATAAAATACCATATTGCAAGAAATTAATTTTAGAGGTGGGAAATACATGGAGACATGTACATTTCCAAAAAGGCCACAATAACACCTGGAACCATGTCAGGCTGGGACACATGATGAAAGCAGGATGCTCTAAGTTGTTTGTGTAATCTAATTTTGAATTTATATCAATTTAATTGACAGTGGTTTAATGTTTAATCAACATGAAGGAGAAGTTCAACTGGATTGTACCCAGGTTGACTTCAACGTAGTGGTTACAATATAATGGACACAGAATAATTCCTTAATCCATGAATTGAGGATATCCTCCTTGTTCTTCCTACTGGATTTGTATGTATGCTATCAATTTTTTCCATCTCCTGTCCTCAGTTCCACATCTGTGCTCTAACCAGGCTATGGGCTCCTTTCACATTGATTACCTCTTTACCTGCTAGTACTTTTATTTTCCAGGAAGACTGCACAATGCTAAGCCAAACTCTCGAGGATGAAGACTGTTTTTAAAATAAATAAAACAAGCTACAAATTTGAAATAAAGATAGATTGTGCAAGCAGAATGGTTTCCTTTTTCACAAAATATAATCATGCTAATGATGATTCATAACTTCCAGAGTAAAAAAAATGCAGCCAAGCTAATATGGCTTTCAATAACATTCCAGAAACTGGAATGTTATAATTCATGTTGTATCAAATGCAAATATGTGTTTAGTTGTGTGTTGCACATGCCAATAGTTACCAAATTAAAACCGGTGTTATATTTTGCTGCGGTTTCATACCTGAGCAGAAAAACGCTTTTGTTAAAATTCATAGAAGTGTTTCCCAAACAGATTTCCAAGTCCCAAATATATGGCTTTTTGCAAAACAAAATTCCAAAAATGTCCTACCCTGAGTTCTTGGTGTTCGTTTCCTGCGATCCCTGAATGCTGCCCCAGATTGCAGTGCCTCAAGAAGATTATCCATCACTCCTGTCTCATCACCCTCTGTGAAAAGGAGAGGAAGTGAAATTAATCTCTCTGCAATTAATGCCATCATAAAGAAGAAGAAAACAGAAAGCAAAAATAAGGTTACATTTACATAAAATCACTAAATTGAAGATATACATTGTACTGCAGTGAAAGTTGTCAGTTTCATGTGATACCATTACCTAGTTTGCTTATGAAGTACCATTAAGCAAAATGGATGTCAACCTCACTTGCTGTTCTTCTGACTTCTAAGTCTCCATCTTATGTATTATTGATAATCTGCTCCATATGCAAATGAACAGATGCTAATTTGCAATTGCTGCTGCACTCTTAAGGCCTTTGTGAAAGATATCTAAGCAAGAACCTGGCAAGCCTTTTTGGCAGAATCAGTGCACGTGTAGCAATTTGAGAGCACAGAATCCCCAGCGTAAGATTAACTACCCATTGGTCTAATGGAAAGAATGCATTTCACTTTCATTCAGGGCAGGCAGATCTTCTGCAGGTATGACCTTCTCCATTCATTTTATTGGCACAGGAAAATCGACAGAAACAGATATGTCTTTATCTGGCACCCCCACTGAAGAACCTGGGAAAGCAGCTAAAAATAGGGGTTTCATTTCTACCCATTTTATATACTGACATCACACTTCTAACATATCTTTATTTTGTAACTTCTTCCCATTCTGTTGTAACTCTTTAGACACACATAATTCTTCTATGGCTTGTGTATCCATATAAGAACAGGCAACTAAACTCAAGGGAAACACAACATGCTGGAAATCAAGCAACAGGAGCTAATTCACTGCTTAAGGAAAATGAGTGCTTGGATCTTGAAATGCATCACCAGGGTCTTATATGAAAAACTGGCAAAATGATTTATTATCTGTCCATTGTTTTTGTACTTTTAAATTTCAATTTGTTCTGTTAATAACTGCTTGCAGCAGCATGTCATAATGCAAAGCATACTGGATACAAGCAGTTATATTAGAGTAGAGAACAAAAAAAAGCTGTTTTATCCATATTCTGATTATAGGATCAATTGCAAAACACTAACTATATGCCCAGCAGCAAAGAACACAAGATTAAGGGTTGCTTTTTTTTACACCTGATCTATGTATTGTAATCAAAAAATGATTTTAACAATTTAACAGCATGCAATTTTATACTGTTTAATGGGACTTAATGTATTGTATCATCATTATGCTTAAATGTACTGTGTTATCGTTATGCTTAGCACTTCTATACAGCAGCATTACTCACCAAGTTTCCAATCCTACTCTCATTTATATGCAGCTAAGATTCACCTATTTCTATGGGAATTAAACATGAGAAGATTCATGCAGAAGTGCAGCATATACAGACAAATATATCTGATATGAAATCTAAAAATGTTCAGAGATACACGACACGGACCCCTCCATTATTATAGTATTCCCTTGTTGTTTATCATGATGTACAATAGCTTTAGTTCTGGATGCCATACTTCAAAAAGGATGCAAACAAACTGAAACAAGTTCAGAGGAGGGCAACAAGGATGATCAGCGGGCTGAAAAGCAAGCCTTATGAGGAAAGGCTGAAAGAACTGGGCATGTTTAGCCTTGAGAAAATAAAACTAAGGGGTGGTATGATAGCACTTTTCAAATATTTGAAAAGCTGTCATAGAGGAGGGGCAAGATCCAGTGGTATTTATTTATTTATTTATTTGTTTGTTTGTTTATTTATTTATTTATTTATTTATTTATTTATCCCCCGCCTATCTAGTCATTTCGACCACTCTAGGCAGCTATCACCTACACCTTTAATTACCATTATACCCGCAACCCTTCCCAGAAGTGTTTTCCTTTGCCTTACCAATATAATAAGAGGGGATGAAAAGGATCATCTGTACTACTGGTGATGGGGGAGGAACTGTTTTTAAGGCCAGTTAGAGAATTTTTGCATTGGATAGAAAGTCTATCTTATTCAGTTTTAGCTTCAAAACAAATCTTGTTGCTGATCTTAAGACTTCATTTTCAGTACACATCTATGAACACTTTCCTGACAAATTTTTGAAACAGAGGGCTCAGCTAAGTATCTATATTTAATGAAAATGCACTTTGATTCTCTTTTAGCTAATGCTGCAAATATTATCACTAGGCCCCTTGTGACGTGTTAAACTGTAGTACTGCAGTCAGAGGCTTTGCTCACAACCTGAGTTCAGTCCTGGGCTCAGCTTTACACCCTTTTTGATGGATGGTATATAAGCAGCACACTTTACTATTTGACAAAGTGATAAATAAAAAACATATCTTCATTCAATTTGGGATGACACAAAATTGGTTGGAATAGCTAATACTTTGGAAGACAGAAACAAAATTCAAAAAGGTCTTGATAGTTTCAAGCCCTGGGCTGTAACTGCAGTTCTACACCTAGGAACAAGAAAACAAATGCAGTCTTTCTTTCAACCACGTTTGATCTCCCCACCTAAAAATATGACAAATCAGCATTGGTAAGTGTCCTTAACACAGTGATGTGCAGTTTTCTGAGTCTAGAATCAGAGCTCAGAGACCAATGTTGTAGTGAATACGGCAAGGAACATGTACAAGAGAAACAGAAATTACAAGGTATGTGTTAGTAAAAGTCCCCAGAATCTATTCATGCTAACAGTTTCAAACACACAGGCTATATTCTGATTCCTGTTGGGGGGAAATGTACCACTAAAGTGGTAAGAATTTTGGGGCAGTAGAAATTAGAATTAACAGAATATTTGTGTGTGGGGTATTTCTAATTTTTTAATTTCTGCTCCTTTATCTACAGCTAGAAGATTTCAGACCTGTCTACTGGCCATTCTAGCTCTATCATTAAACCTTACTCTGTCCTCTATTTCACAAGCTGAGGCTGACAGCAGGATTACTCCCACTGAACATAATGACATCACTAAACCAACAGCTGCTAGCCCTGGGCTACATCTAATTTGACACCTGGCAAGCACTTCCGAAAAATCTCCCAAATGACTGTAAGTTCACTGGAAAGCAATGCAATTTTTGGGAAAATGTCAATCTATCCTAGGTCTTTATTCATACCGACTAATAACTTTACAAAGTTAAATACAAATGTTCCTAAGGAAATACTGGGGTATTCTTCTCGTCTCTATTTTCCCCTCTCTTCTTCCTACCTTTTGGAGGTTATTTCAATGGCGAAAGAGTAACAGTAATTTCAAGTTTTTCAAATTTCTATTTTCTTCTTTTGAGCTACCTTTACATGGTTAAATTATCCTTTCATATTTGCCTCAAGTGTGGGAGACTTAACCTATACAGGGCCATCTTCTGGGCCTTATAAAGTCATGTGGATGTACACTTTCTTTCTTATGCCATCTTTGGTTAAGGTATCTTGATCAAGATATCCATTTCAAAGTTCAAACAGATAGTTTCAACAGACAGCTAAACAGTAGCTAAATGGTAAATACCTTACATTATGGCTTTTATATCTGTGGGAGAATGGTGCTATATCTGCAACTGTTTCATACTTCCCTTGCCTTGTTAGTTGCCTGGAGGTCTAGTACACCTCAAGACAGACAACAACTGTTCAGCTATAGGCACTTAATGTAAGCTTTTTATTGGCTACTGTACAGATTTCAATTACATGAAACTAATGTATTCTGCATCCTGATCAAATACTGATTTCTAGTAAGCATGTTTCTTCAAAAATACAGTGAATTATTTTTAGTTAAAACAAAACAACTCATATAAGTGAATGTGTATTTCAGTATAATAAGGAATTTTACATATTTACCAATTAATGGATACTTTATGGTAGATCAAACACGTCTGAGAAGAGCAAGCTGGTAAGATGTGTGTGTTTGTGTATTTATGTATATACAGAGAAAGGGGAAGGGGGAAAGAGAAAGGGAGGGAGAAAGTTTTTCAGCTTTTCTTAAAAGTGGGCACAGGCTTCTTTTGCAACAATACACTTAATTGAAATACTCAAGACTATCTGACTGGGATCTACCAAAATAGAGCTAAGATCTTTTTCACTGTCTTGATTTTTTTCAGCTTTGAAAGTAATTGTTCTGTCTGTTACCCAGAATAGCTTCTCCATGTTGGCTTTATTTTTGTAAAATAAATCATGACACGGTGTAATATGTCATGTGTTGTTGTTCATCTGAGCTTGTATTTACCTAATATTCAGACCTGCTAAGGACCAAGTGATTTTTATTATGACCTGATACATAAACCCATAGAATTCAAAAAGGGTGTATTTTCTCTTTTTCTTGACTGTATGTTACTTGAGATACACTGCTGTGAAGTAATTACTTTACATCGCTTTGGGTTGAAAAGAAACTTATCCCAAGCTTGCTGCATTTTTGACAGTTACATTCTCCTTATCAAATGTTTTAGCAATAATAATAAAATAATATGACAAAATACCTCTGGACTCATCAAGTGAGTGAAAACATATTGTCCTCAGAGTTACAGCCAACCTCCTATCTTTGTGGGAAATGCTAAAATTCTTGATGTAATTTATTTCCTATTGACAATGGAATATGAATGCAAAGTTCTGATTTCTTTATTCAATTCCATTCCTGCCTTATAGTTATGTAAAAATACAGTGAGAGTCCTGTTAGCCCTTAATGTGCTTCAGTTAAATTGTGCACCCTACTGCAGCAAATTGTGCATGTTGCGCAATCAGGTGTGCATGTTTTAACAACCAACAGATCACAAAGGCAACTTTTAGATAATCTTTCCTTTGTCCTGCTCTGGAGTAGTGTGTCTGACATTTTTGTTGTTTGGACTGACAAATAAGTCTATGTTCGATCAACTCCATTTGATGCAAACGTCACTGAAGATGTTTGTGGTCAATTCTCACTTGCGGCCCTGAGATGCCTTCTGGCTTAGGCTGTCTGCCAATTGGTTGGCTTCCCATGCACCATGGGTGGTCACTGGAAATAGGCTAGGAGCAACTAAGCTGTGGAGTGTGTCCTGCCATTTATTCGCAGTGGTGTTGTTGGTGGAAACATATACTAATTTGCCCGATATCAT